AGTCCTGAAATCCTTGTGAAGAGCAAGCCTCTAGTCAAACATTAGCGGAAGCTTTCCCTGAGGGGAGACTTCTCCCTGAGCTGAGGGCTCACTCCTATAATTGCACACTTGCTGAACCAGGGGTGTCCTCTCGAGACCATTATCCCTGGCCTTATTCCACTCCCAGTGTGGAGCCACGACCTGGCACACTGATGTCGGGCTCCCCCACCGCCCCTGCCCACAGCAAGTCCATTCATATTTCTGGGAAGAATATACTCAGCAGATGGAAGTTTAGTGCTATTTTTACCATGGTTGGTACAGCGAATGTAGAGAGCATGATAATTGATTATCTGGGACAACAGAAACGCACAGGAGCTACAATTTCAAGGATTAGGGTCTCCCCGAGGATTTCCTTCGCGTTTCAGTGAAAGGAGAGATAACCTTTGTGGTGGAAACGGAAACACGGCTTTCAGTTCCCATCTGCGGCCAGCCTCTGGAGACAATAGTATTAAGGGTGATGTGAACTTCCTCTGTTCATCGCCATGGGATAGGAACCTCGACGTGGTTATCTGTGCTTCTATAGCAACGCTATTCAATTTCTCACTGCTTTTTTGTGTCCTGCCAGAAACAGTCAATTAATGCCTGCATTTAACATGTCTGGAGTAATGGTCCCATGTTTCACCTAGTTTAAAGGACATTTATGGAAATCAGGCAGCAATTTTATCCTGAGTAAGCAGCCTAATATTCTGTCATTCTGCATTACTCAAGTGGCCATTGCTCTTAGAAAATACATGTTAGGTGTTTTCAGTTAAGAGGCATTAAACTTTTGTGGACTGAGCAGTAGGATTTCATTGCAAATGCATTGTCCCATTTTAATGGAAGCTTTGCATTAACAAGTTCCATCTCAAGAAATTATTCTGTTCAACCTGCCTTGTGATTTACACTATCATGAGATTCTGCCCTCAATATTAAAATGTAAGCACATATTTCCTCTCCCAAGGCTAAGGCTGCATAAAAAGGCTTACACTGAAGCTAAGAAATCCTCTGTCTGGATCAGGATAATTTTTCTCAGAGAATATGGTGAAACAAATATCCATGCACTTTGGAGAGGTGGAAATTCGGCTCTACATTGTTCTTTCCATCTTGTTAAAAAAAAAGGATTTTTGACTTAATATATAGTCTGTTTCCAAACTATTGGCATCTTTCACAGATATAGGCTGGCTGGCTTATGAATAAATAGCACAGTTTGTGTAGCCAAAGATAGTTGTCATGATGCACTTATTAATGAGTACACATATCTCTGAACATCAAATGCTGTGCTATTTTCAGAGAGGTCCTTTCAGATTCTGTTTTCTTTTTTCCTAATTTTTTTTCCTTACCCTCCTGCCATTTTCCTTCAAAGTTTGGTAGTGGAAAGCAGAGAGGAAAGGAACCTGGGAAAGGAGATGTTCTCATCTGTCCAGCTTTCCTATGTCAGGAGCTACTCTGTGCATGTCATTCTTGACAGGTGTTTGCCTAATCTGCTCTTAAAAAACTCCAGTGATGGGGCTCTGACAGTCTCCTTAGGCAATCTGCTCCACCGCTTTGCTGTACCTATCATTAGGAAGGGTTTCCTGATATCTAACCTGCAATTAAAGGCCACAATTTCCCACACAACCCATCATCAGGCTGACCTTACAGCCAAGCCAGCTCCACCACGCTGACTCCTGTTTCCTTGCTAGATCTTCCCTGTCAACAGTGCTCCTTGGGTAATGTGCTCTCTCCTGCCAGGAGTACCCAGGGCAGTGTGAGTGCCACTGGTTTTGTTGAGTGTCCAGCCTGGCATCCCATGGGCTGGCGATGGGCAGATTTCCCTCTCAGATCTCATGAAGCCAACGGGAAGGCAGCTGCCTGCCAGTAGAGGCTGTTGAATTAGGAGATTCAGTAAATCCCAGGAGAGGCACTGCCACAGTGAAGTTGCAGCAGTTTTGGGTTGATAAAATTACCAGTGCTCACCGTGGTCCCAGGCTCGGAGCAGGAACTGAAGCCTTTTTTGTCCTGGAACAAAGCAGGCTGTGAAGGCAGTGGTACCATATATTGCATACATGCAATCAGTCACATCAAGCATTTTTGGACATACATTTTCTGATTACAGCATTTCTGTAATGATGTTAGGAGATTAAAAGCATTTTAAAAATCAGAGGCATCACAGGTTTGGCTTGGGTTTTTTTAAGCAAAGTACATGCCATGTCAGCCCTGACTGATGGAGAAGCTGTAGATGCCAGCTGTGAGAGAGGTCGAGATGCTGTGGAGCTGAGGCAGGCCCTTACTGATGTGCAGCAGCAATAGAGAATGAGCCGGGGTAGATACAGGCACATCACAATATTACCATGGCAAGATAAACTCTGAACCGCATTTTTAATGTGCTTAGAACAGTGCTGGACATTGTGTTTCCTTCTGCAAATTATTTACAACTGAAAGATTATAGTAATGAACTAATGTAAAGCTTGAGAACTAGCCCTGAGAAACCCTGGAGAATTAACTGCTGAGAAAAGGGGGTTTTTTACAATGGAAACCAGCTAGCTAAATAAGGTGTGCTTTTGCTGCTTGAGTAAATTATAGCAGTAGGTAGCTAAACTGGTTTTGAGACTGGGAAATTTTCATAATGTCCAAAGTTAAGTAAAATAAGGTTTGGATCAGTAGGAGGGAGGGCATGTTGCCATCAGCAGGGGTGAATAACCCTTGTGCAACTGGCGCTTTTGGTAAGCAGGTCAGGGTCAGTGTGGTTTGTCTGTGTTCTGACACATGCGCTACAAACACCCTGATATCCATTTCATTTTACAAGGTGGGTGCGTGCACCAAGATAATGCTCCAGAGGGTCACTGTCAGGTTACAATGTGCCAGCCGTCACACGCACAATGTCTAGAATAGCGCCAAGATACAATTTCAGGGGTCTGAGGGCACCGGTAGCGTTCAGAGCCCTACATAACACCTATGTCCCACACAGCATCTCACTAGCTCTCTGTCACTGAGCATTCCATTGGCACCTGTGACCCTGAGCTGACAGGTCCATTTCTATTTGTGCGAGGCATTTTGAAGGCATTCATTCCCCAGTTGTCTTTTAGATGACCTGGAAGAGCTTCAGTGAGTTGCCTGTATTCCTTCATGGATGAAAGAGAAGGACAAAGTTTGTTTCCAAACTGAAAATTGGGTGGGTTTTCTTTACAAAACATAGATTTAGACTTTGTATTCCACGCAGCATGGGAGGTAGATTTGTTGTGTGAGAGAGGTTTCAGTTTCAAACTAATGATTAGAGTAATACATTTCACCCTTTGTCGGTATAAAGTGATTTCAGGTGCTCAGGAATGCTCTGCCTCTTCCTTGCGGTTCGAAGGAAAAATTTTAAACATTTTCCACCCTGCAGCTACTGAGGGCAGTGTAAGAAAATACCCATAAGCTGCTAGGAAATGTGCAGAATAAACTCATTTCCCACTTCCCGCTGCTTGTAATAATCATCACTTGTAGACACCGCTCGAAACGTTTTTGGGCAAACTTTGCATTTTAAAATCGTTATTTTCTGCCAGGCAGAGTTCGTTCACACCCCATGGCTGACAAGTAGAGGCCCAAGCTGAAGCCCTCAATGGGCTTTCTGTGAGGTGCAGCCCCTTCATGTTTTCCTAAAAGCCCCCAGTGCTGTTAACCCACAGCTCCCCTTTCCCACCTATCTCCCTAGGGAGAGGCAGAAGCCTATTTGAAGGCAAACAAGCCGTAGAGCCTACAAGGTGTAAATATCTTTCATGAATGCCAGCGCTGGGTTGTGACACACGACGACAGGCAGTTCACTCCGCATGAGGGGGAACAGTATGCCAGCACTGCTGCAGCCACCAAGGTGCATTGCACCTGGGCACCCCCAGGCCCCCCTGCCCCGGGGGGACACATGGGGTGGCTGGAGGGACAGGGAGCAGAGCCGCCTGCTCCTTGCCCATCTCCTCCGCCTGCTTTCATTGCCCCCCGCTTTGGTCACCCCCCTCTGCCCTCCTTCTCTCCCTGGCTTCTTTGGGCAGGGCCTGATTTAAATAGGTTGGCAGGGAGCCAGGAGCTCATCATTTTAATGCAGTGTAAAATGGAATGTGCATAATTATATGCAAGCCATATGTGAGGGAGACAGCTCAGCTGTGAATTTCAGGAGGCTGCGAGAGGGAGAGAGCGAACAGTCAGGGATCAGATGAGATGGAGCGGAACGGAGTGCAAGTGTCACTGAAATGAACAGTGTAATGAGTGTATTGCTGACACTCCTCCTTTCACCTGCTTCTCCCTTTTGCTCCAACTCAAAAGGAGAAAACACTGTAGATGAGAAGGGAAAAATACTATATGCAAGCAGGACTGCTAATGGGCTCTGGTAATGTCTCCATTTAAACCTCAGCTTTCTTAATTAACAGCATAGTTTCGAATAACCGGTAACTTTTAATGCATCTTTGTCATTAAATATTTTGACCACATTTGACTGAAGGATCATTGTTCTCGCTAGATGATTGCTTTTTTCAAAGCTTCATTTAGACATGGAGGGGGAATCCATTTAACTATAATAGTATTACATGTAAATTATGGGTATGAAAACTTACTTATTTTTTGGGGCCTTGCTGTTAAAATGAAAATACAAATACATTATGTAGGGATTGCTTAAGCATGTCAGAAAGTTTATACAAGTACGTATGTAATGTAATCCTGAAAAATGCAATGGAGTAAATTGAAACCTTGAGTTACGCACAGTCTTCAGCTCAAATATTTCATCTTGGGTTTGTCTTTTGTTGTTGTACTTATTACACCACAATGAATTTGCATGTTCAACCTAAGTTATGTAAAAAAACAGCATCCCAAGTTCTCATATCTAAAAGTTATACTGCATATTTAAAGAAACTTTAAAATAATGTTGTATTTTGGGATTCCCGTCTGTTTTAATGATCTGAGCTGTTATGCTTTTAGCTATTCTTTTCCTTCCATTATTTGTAAGTCCCTAAATAGGCCATTATATTTCCCTTCAGGCTAGAGATGAAGATGGACATGCTGAAAATTTTCCCCAGCAGCACTATGCTAAGGAAACTCCAAGACTTGCCTTCAAGAATAACTGCGAACTACTTGTAAGAATAACATACTTACAACAAGTCTAGATTGTTACTTTAGCACAGTGAAAACCTTTTTTTTCTTTTTTTTTTCTTTTTGAAAGGCTTTTGTTCATTATGACATTATGAAATATGATAGGTTTTCTTTTTTCCTGTTCAGTGTACTAATGCTAGTTCTGCTATCCGTGAACAATTTAAGATCTCAGATTGCTTGAAAAATCTCTTGTATTTGATGACAACACGTGAATGGCCTTGCACTACCTTGTCTTGCATGGTACATCAGGGAGCTCCATTCAGGGAATGGCTGGTGATGCACGAGAAGCACTCCCTCACCTCCGAGGCACCCCAGAACTCACTTTCCCATCCACCTTTATCTCTGCCTTGTTTTTGGCTGCGGCGTGTTTGTTTTGCTGACAAGCAGTACTCCCTTCAGAGCTTGCCTGTTCCTCCCCTTCCTAGCTGCATGCAGGAGGGAGAATCCTCTCCTTGACATTCCTCTCCTCTCTACTCCTCTCCCATCCTCTTCTGTGGGGAAAGAGCAAAAGCCAGGAAAGCACATACAGGGAGGCTGGAGTGTTTACAAGCCATAACAGAGAGGATAATCAGCTCTGAAAGGATCTCTGTTCCAAGGCGGGGTTAATTCACTGTTCATTTTAGCATTTGCAGCTAGGCAAGATTAAAAGCAAGCAGGAATGCCTATTATATTTCTATAAAATGAATCTGTTGGGACCTAATGTTCTTGATTAGCTTTGTGAAAACGAGTGCTCCACGATGAGTTTTTCTGTTTGCCTAAAGTAAGCAGAGAATGACTTGTAGTACATTTAAGAGAGATTCATGCATGGCTTTCGAATTAGATGAATTGGTAGATCTCTTCCTTACATTCGCCTTTCTTCTCTGCCATATTGAAGTAAAATGTATCATTTGGCTAAATGAAAATAGTTTGTGGAGAGTCAGAACACGGGGTTATGTTTTGAAACAACACCACTTTTTTTTTTCTCATTACAACTACAGAAGAGACGGGTGGCGATGGAGGAGCAAGCTATGTTTCCTCTGCATTAAAACCTGTGTCTGCCTCCCCTGTAGAGGATGCACAGCCAAATGCTAATCTTGGTGTCCTAGGTGCAGCATCCAATGAAGTCGAGCTGATTGATAGGCTGACGTAACCCAGTGCGGAAGCTGGACCCCAGATTCAGGCAGTTATCAGAGAAGCCCAGACTGGAGAGCAGCAGCTCAGCGTTGATGACCGGTCCCTACTCACAGTACTGGCCAGAGTGCAGAACATCTTGGCTACACCTGCACTAGTGGGCCCACAGGCTTTCCTGTGGTGTCCCCTGTGCTGAGCCAGCCCCTGGTTAGGTAATGACGATGCTGTTTAGAGCCACAGGTGTCACTCGGAAGGGTCAGTTTGTTCCCACTAGAATTCTCCCCAGCCAGAAGTGACTTGACCCGTAAGACATGATCTTGCTTCCTCTTAAACCTTTTGCAAAGTTCTTGCTGGTTTCAGGGGCAGGAGGGTAATGTCCAAAGGGGAGGAAAATAGACAAACACAGAAAGCATTTCCCTGGTGCAGTAACAATTCTTGTGCCAAGTAAATGCAACTCTTTCTTCAAGGCCATGCTTAATTACTGTGCCGCTGGTCAAATCAGGCCCGATGAACCATTGCAAAACACCAAGATGGTCTTGTTGTCAGTTGGGCTTCTTGGTGTTGGAGGAGTTCAGGACTCAAGTTGGGAGACAATACGATATAAGTCATGTATTATTTCGATTGAAGATCTTCTTTATTTTCAGTGCAAGCAACCAATGAACTGATTAACCCCTTTTCTGCTGTTGAAATCAAGCATTCTTTTAATGCCCAGTTAACTATTCCTCTACTAATATACATTTAAGTTTTTGTTTTATTGTATCACTTCTGTACCTGGCAAAAGCTCAAATCATCCAAGTTAGTCTTTCATGTGCATTTTGGACAAGTTTCAGTTCTTGTTTAAGGAAGTAATAAAAGCAATTTGTCATAGTTTTATTTTTCCTGTGCCGTTGGAAACAAAATTGGCAGGGATGTAATATGTACTCAGTTTGTATGTGAAAAAAAAATAGACAAATAATGAATATGTACCTCTGCTATCTTTAAAGATGTATTTTAGGAACTTTCAGTGAAAATACGATGTTAAACCTGGGCTTTGGTGGTGGGGGAACTAGTGTTATGTATTGAAGATGCTACGTATTTCACAGAGGGGTAGTGGTTCTCCTTCTATATTTTTACTTTTGGGGAAACAATGGTGTATTAAAATATGCTTGAGAGTAAAGTGAATTGCACAGGACCTGGCCAGTAAGACAGCATCTTTCTCCTGAAGGCTAGTCACTATTCCTATGTTTGTGCTAGGAAATGTCTTCTTGGAAGGGAAGACGGGGGAAAAAATGAAAGAAAGGAGTGGGGACAGCTGCTTCCTCTGAAAAATATCTTCCCGATGGTTAAAAACTTACCCAGAGCCTAACAGTGCAAGTCAGAAGCTGGCTGAGTGAAAAGCTGAGATTTTTTTAAATGAAAGAGAAACTGAAACTTGTTTATGCTTTTGAGAACTGGGAAATCCTTGGAGTTTTCTCAGTGCAATTGAGAGTAAGTATATAGCCTGTGAGGTGAAACTGGAGGATTTGGCTCAAAAGTGCTTTCTTTGCTTTAGGCTTCAGCTGCCATTTTCCAGCAAAGTTTGTTCCAGCAAGTGCAGGCTCTTCTGTTTGGGAAATGCTTGTGTTGGGAGGGTGCTGCCAGGCAGGATCCAGGGACTGGGGCGCTGCTGCTGGATCTGTGTGCCAGGCTCCCCTGCTACACCAGCTGAATCTTAACATCCCAGATCACGGACAGATACGGCAAGCTTTAACTCCTCAGTATTTGGAGAGATTTGAAAGCATAGTAACACACTATTACAAGTTGTATGCTTGTTTTATTGTTTGCTCCTCCAAAGATGAGATAATTTGGATAGTGAGGTACAGCTCAGCTATTTGGTGGGTTTCGTTTTGTTTTGCTGGGTTTCGTTTTGTTTTGCTGGTTTTTTTTTGAGAGAGAGCTTGATAGGAAATAGGAGGAAGAAAGACGTATGATTTAGGCAAAAGAAACCCCCGCAGTGCTTACAGTAGTTCTGCGCATTAAGAAAAGCAGTGACAATGAAAGGTTTTGGTTGGTATAGAAAGCCATTGTGCAATTAGGGTATTAGATTAGGGCATTAATTTCCGACACTAAATCCAGATACATTGTGTCATGCAATTTGTTGTAGAGGATAGAAAACAAAATGGTAAAGATGCTGTAGTCAATGAGGATGTCAAATTTTCCTTTTGAACTTTTAAGTATTCTTGAGAATCATGATTTCTTAAGTTTAGATAAATACCAGGAATTACATAAAACAAATCTGTTTTTTAAAGAGCCATGCCATCATGCTGTGTTGACCAGCCATCGACTCTTCTCCCATAGGCACTGCCTCGGGATTTTAATTTCTTGTTCTATGAGTGGCTGGAAGCTTTTCTATCAGGCACATCTCTTTGTTTCCAGAAGGAAAAGGCAGAATTCAGTCCTCTGGAAGATGATTGTCACAGGAGTAGTACAGTCCAGCTAATAGTGAATGTGGGGAGAGAGATGGGATTAACTACAGAGAAAGGATAGGCTTGAGTCAAAAGGCCAGTGAGAAGCCCACAGCTCCTTCTCTAGCTGGCTGAAATTCCTAAGCCATTGCCTAAAGAAAGGAAAAATCCATCTGGCATCTACCCAGGTTAGTGAGGGTAGGAAGAGCCATGCTTGGATGCCTTTTAACAAAAGTGGGAAAGAAAAATCAGCATCTAGTCTTCCTTTTGCCCCAAGATGCCCAGAATATTGCGTCAAGGTTTCAGATTGGCGTGCTGCAGTATGAGCAAAGAAGGATTTGATGAGTTAGGGAAATTAAACACCAGGTTTCTTTCCAGATCATTTGTTTATGGAGATGATCTGAGTACCACCTACCACTATGAAGTTAAATGTAAAGCAAACAAAAACCAAACAAAATATAAACACACTAGGAAAGAAAATAAAAATTAATTTCCAGCCCTACGTCCAGCTTTGATCCACATTTTTCCAGCAGTAAAATCAGGGTCTTTTTCTCTTTGAAATCAAAAAGTCTGCTCCTAGTTTTGCTCTGGGAGGATAAATTCATGAGTTCAGTATGCAGTGAATTATGAAGTAGTCCTCATGCTTGGAAGCTGTTATGTAAAAGACACAAAATAAAACATGCTTATTACTGGATTTAATACAAACTCACCTATGGCAAATAAACTTTAATCACTAACAAGAAGAGGCGGAGAAAGCTCTGAAAACACATCTACAACAGAAACATGAAATGCAAAATGTTCTCCTGTGAGCAAAAGGCCTTTGGGGAGGTTTTGGCAAGGCTGAGAGGAGCCAGAGCTACAGCTGGTGCTTCGATTGAAGCCATGTCACTTTGCTCTGCTTTTCCAGCACTAGAGGAAACATGTACATGTGTGATAACCAGGCAGGGCGACAAGGGTGCAGGCAGGTTAACCTCAGTGTTATGGTACTGAAATGTGGGAAAGATTTCATACCTACCAGACTGATTTTAAAGAACACTAAGAATATTTGGGATAAGGTGAGGCCACTTGGTTTTGTAGGTGTAGCAAATTTAAATGTAAGTATGCATGTTGGTATCCTTTGGAGGCCATGAATGTTTTGGTTCTAGAAAGTGAAGTTTTAATTCTTTTTTTTAACCTCACCTGTGTTCTGCTAGTGCTTCAGCATTGAAAGAAAATACCTGTCAGTCCGTTTATAATCACAGCGTCTTCAACGAGGGCTGAATTAGGGGGAGATGGCTTTGCATATCCCCTCTCTTTCTGTTCCACCCTTTTTTTCTCCTATGCTGCCTCCTTATTCTTAGCAGAGAGGAGAGAGAAAGCAAAGGTTCTTCCCCTTGCAGCTCTCTCTGGCTTTTTCTTCACCCTTTTAGGAACAAACCAGCAGATGCTTCCTTCATCCTGGCCTAGGCCTT